GACCGATGCCAGACAGTCCCGCTTCTCCCGTATGAGTCTGGGTCCCTAGAGACTCTCCCTGAACTGGAGCTCAGAGCCTGAGACTCCCTCCCGATTGGAAACGACAACCGCGCCCTCAGCCGACAGCCTGCTCCACATGCACCTCTGCACCTTAGTATTTTCCTTCCGTACTGCGCCTCCTCTGAGTCTCGGTATGCTTTTCTCTTTCCTTCTAGTTGTAGAATTTCCACTCAGCCAGCCTTCCTGTGGTTCTGGATGATGTCCATTCCGTCTTTTAGTTGTATTTTTGAAGTGGTTGTTCAAGGCAGCAAACTCCGGTGTTTACCTATGCCGCCATCTTGGTTTCTCCCTAGATATTCTTTATCAGAAATATTACTTGCAAATATTTTCTCCCATTCTGTGGGTTGCCTTTACTTCTCTTGATAGTGTCCTTTGGCGCACAAAACTTTTTACTTTTGATGTAGTGCAACTTATTTTTTCTTTTGCTGCCTGTGCTTCTGTTGTCATAACCAAGAAATCACTGCCCAATCAATGACATGAATATTCCCCTCTATGTTTTCTTCTAAGAGTGTTATAGTTTTACCTCTGAAGTTTAGGTCTTTGATCCATGTGGAGTTACTTTTTGTATGTGGTGTAAGGTAAAGGTCCAACTTCATTAATGTGGATATTCGGTTTTCCCAGCACCACTGGTTGAAAAGACTACTTTCCATACTGTGTGTGTTGGTACCCTTGTCAAAACTAGTTTTTATTTTGAATATCTATTCCTGCTTAAAAAATATTCATGGGAGTTGATTGACCCAGGGAGCCTTGAAAATATTACTTTTGGTCTTTGTTTAAAGACCCAGAAACTGTGCTTTAGTCTAGATATTCAGACATATCAGCACTTATTTATAGTATTTGCTAGTTATATATACATACAGGGTTCAAATATGCTAATGTTATGTTAATACATATATAACTTTTCCTCTGTCTTTTATTTTTTTCTTGACATACACATTATTTTCTTCTTACAGTACACAAACAAAGGAAAATTGCAGTGGTTCAGCCTGAAAAACAGTAAGTAACATAATAGTATGTTTGAACAGTTGATATTAGAAAGTTAGAATAGAAAAAGAAATAATTAAGAGTATATCTCCTCACATGTTAATTTCTCAGATGGAAGCATAATCCTTTAATTCAGCTTTTGATAATTTACATACTTCTCCTTACAGTTTATACATTTCCTAAAATGGCATTATATACAGAAGGGTAAAATCCACTCTCAAGATGTTCCCCAAATTGAGTTTTCTTTGGCTTTGAGAGCTGGGAGGCATTTGAATAAGAGAGAGAATAGAGTCTCCATGCTGGGATTTATTAAAGAAGATCAAAAATTGTAAAGTAGGACATGATTCGTGCCAGTGAAACAGTGGATCCTGAAGACAGCGAAGGGAGAGGCGTATGGAAGGAGTGTCTGTGTGTCCCTTCAGGAGGTTCTCCGCAGCACATCTTCCTACGCAGCTTTAGAGAAGCGGCTGGTTAGTGTTGCCTTAAAGATACAAGGGTTTCTGCGTGTACGTGTGTGTTTTTAAATATTGGGTTTTCAGTTTTGTATTAGTTTGCTCAGGCCACCCTAACAAAATGCCACAGACTGGGTGGCTTGGACAACACGTTTACTTCTCACAGTTCTGCAGGGGGGAGTCCGAGATCAGTTTGGTTCCTGGTCAGGGCTCTCTTCCTCGCTGGCAGACTAATCACGGTGTCTTCACATGGAAAGGATGGGAGGGAAGGAGAGCCTTCTCTCTTCCTCTTCTTACAAGGCCACCAATCCTGTTGGGTTAGAGCCCGACCCTTTTTACCTCCTAAAAGCCTTGTCTCCAAATACAGTCACATTGAGGATTAGGTCTTTGACATGGATTTTAAAGGGACACGATTCTGGTTATAACAAATTCTATATAATTTATATCTGCTTTTGTGGCTATGCGAGTAATAAAACTGACCTTAGAAGTAGGAGGCCACAGAATTCTAATCTAGGTAGTGATAGCAGTGACAAAAACCTGGCCTTGGATTTTTCCTTGACTTAGTTGTCAAGACTGATCCAAAGTTTTAGGAAGTATTTTAAGAAGATAAATTAGTCTTTTTCAGTGATTGCTTCAAATACAATAATTCTCTTTTTAAATAATATAATTTGTCTTTAATTTTTAAACTGATGGAAGAAGAAAACAGACTCTATATTAAAAATGTTTCTGTTCTTTAACAATTAAAAACAACAAATAGTCTACTTGCGTTTTTAGAATCCCAGAAGGAATTCTGTAACTGTTGCTAATGTGAATGGGAGTTTGTTTGAACGTGCAGTATCCTCTGTCTATAGACTGTTGGCTCCCTAGGCTGTGTACAGTTGCCATTTAAATAAAAGAAAGATCAAGGAAGCACCTTCTATTACAGATTTTACTGTCTGCCACCTTTGCTTTCTTCTTAGATTTGACGGAAACTAACCCTCACACTTCACTGACTTTATGGATTATCTTACTATTTTGTTGTGTTTTCTTGACTCAGAATGCCATCCTCGAGGACTGTCCATGAGGGCCTGAAGAGTCGGGAGCTGAACTCCACAGACTCGGGTAGGATTGAGTGCACGCAGCCGTAGGGAAGGAGGACCTGTAGTTTCTTTAATGGACGGTATCTAAAAATAAACAATACATTTGATTTACACAATGTAGCTTCAGAGGGGTCTCTGAATTGTGATGTTTGTCTCAAGATGTCCTTAGTAACAATGATCTTTGGGCTGACATCTTTGTTCATTTACAGTGTCTACAGAATGAAGACATTAATATCTCCCACATGACCACAGTCAAGTTTGGGTTTTGTGATAGGTCAGGTCACCTTGGGAAAGGAGTCTTAAGACTGATCACTTACTGGGTGCTAAGGGCTCCGGAGGTCAATATTATTATCCCCGAGTTTAGATAAAGAAACAGGTTTTCCAGGCAGTGCTCTTTCATATATGTATATATATTTAAAAAAAATAAAAAAAATTATTAAATTAAAAAAATAAAGCACTTAAAAATTAAAAAAATAAAGCACTGGAAAAACAGTTTGTCCCAGAGGCGATACCTGATCAATGAGACAAGGCTCTTTTTGGAGGCCAACAATCTCTCCCTGGAACTGCTCTTGCCTCCCCCTGTGCTGGTTGTGTTATGCTTAGCATCTTGGCTGTGTGTCTTCTAGCACAGGTTGAGCACCTGGATGGTAGTTAGTAAATGCCTAGAAAAAAAAAGAAACCAAAGCTTAGAGAGATCATTCAGTTTATGAGTAGAAGGGTCAGAAATGAAACTCAGATCTTTCTCAAGTTCAAAACCTGCATTTTTTTTGTCTCTTCTACCCACTGCCTTTTCATTATATCATTTATACATGGAGGATCAGGGCTGCGTAACTCATTTTTGATGTATTACTATGCCTACGGAAACTACAGAATTAAGACCTTAATATCTCCCACACGACCACAGTCAAGTTTGGGGTTTGTGATAGGTCAGGTCACCTTGGAAAAGGAGTCTGAGACGGATACTTATATGAAGGAGTTTTATTGGGGAGTACTTTTGGGAACAACTCCTTGGAGGGGTAAAGGAAGCAGGACTGGGCAGAGGGAGAAGTTGAGCCACATTCAGAGTAACAATTCCAGTCCCACGGGGAGCCTTGGCGCTGCTATAGCCACTCAGACTCTGCTGCTCCCTCTCCGCCTCACAAAGGGTGGGGTCTTGGGCAGGGGGGCTCTCCTAGTGAGGGAGGCCTAGGCTGAGTGAGGGTAATCCCAGGATAGACTTACAGCCCAGAGCTATAAACTGTCAACATCCCCAGCAGCAGGGAGCGTAAGTGCCTTAATCCCGAAAGGGGGATCTGGGTGGTAGAGTTCAGATGCAGAAGTGGACACTGACATGCTGACCCGTGTGCCAAGACTGCATTCTTAGGAGCATTATGTACTGCAGGGTCCTGTCGACCGTGGGCAGTGCACACACAGCTCCTTTCCTCACGTTGGCTAACAGCGTCCATCAGAAGAGCTTCTCGCTGTTTGATATATAAAATGAAGGTGTTTTAGTGTCTTTGAATTTTTTACATTCAGTTGCTGGGTTGCCAACCACTATGAGGGGATTTTTTAAAAAATACTGTATTGCAGTACAGTATTCATATATAAAAATGGTTGAAGAGAGGGGTCTCTAGGCCCAGATATACCCCACAGTACTTAAAGAATTAGAGATGTGACCACAGTGTACTTTCAGCCCTCTGAGAAATCCCAGAAATGGGAGGACACTCACATCATAAAGGCTGCCGTTGTAGTAGTTTGGTGCTTTCAAGGGAATGAACTGAGGTTCTGGATAGTATTCACCATCACCCCCTGGAAATATTCCAGAGTCCATTATTGAATAGGTGGTTGTCAGGAATCATCATGGGTTCTGGAAGAAATCTTCCACTTCCTTGATTGATAGAAGTATATGGCTCTAGAACAGTGTCACTAACCCAGGAGTTAATCTGCACGTAATTTAGGACGTTGTCTGATTTTAGCAGTGATAAGCTCTATAATAGGGTTGTTGTATTTTAAGGGCACTCTCAGATAACATGTTAAACATCAAGATATGTAATTTCTAATATTATATAATGATGTAGATGCTTGTTTTTCCCGCAGTAACCCAACTTTGAAAATAGGGGTTGGAAAATGACTGTTCTGAATATTTGTTTTTTTTTTCTTTTCATTTCCCAGTTATGATTAATGGAAAATATTGCTGTCCAAAGATATACTTCAACCACCGTTGCTTCTCAGGGCCATATCTTAATAAAGGAAGAATCGCTGAGCTGCCTCAGTGTGTGGGACCTGGAAACTGTGTTCTGGTCCTCAGAGAGGTAAGGTTCTGGCCTAGAGCAAAAGAACTTGGAAACTTCGCAGCAGTTTCATAAACGCATTCATGCAAAGATCTCTGCATGCCATGGAAGTGACAACCTTAGGTTTTGTCATAAGTGATTAACTTTTCTCGTGTTGGACAGTGAACTGGGCATGAAATTATTTCTGCCCATAGGACCTTCACCTATTAAGCGGTTCTTCACATAGCAGGCTCACCTCTGTCAGTGTAAAAGGTCTCTGTCAGAGACCACATGGGAACTGGGCAAGAGTCGGTGTGAGAATAGTCAGTCTGTCACCGAGAGGCTGTGGTGTGGCATTAATCCGGGACCGTGATACAGCTGCGTGTCTGCTGGACTTGCAGAGCTTCCTGCCACGATGCCACAGTGCCAGTAACAGATGTGAGGAGCATCAAACTGTTCAGCCCACGGAAGGGCAAGGCAGGCTGGGGAGGCTGGCACTCGGTCCGACTCCTCCACCCACACGAAGGCTCTGCTGTCTACAAAGTGTCCCAAAGAAACACAGTTTTCTGAGTATTGTGACTGGAGATGGATTTGGAAGCACACACTAGAGTAATTTTAAATCATGGTTCCATTTCTTTCTGACCGTAACGTTTTAAATATTTAAGAGAGTCTAATTACTCTCTTATTTGCAATTTTGATCAGGTGTCATATCTTTAGTAGTATTATTTTGTTAACATTTGTTAACTAATGTGACTAGAATTAATCTCATAAATGACATGCTAAGGGATGGCAAGGTTCTAATGGTCTGCTTTTCTCCTTCCCAACCCATATTTCTGCTTTGACAATGGCGCACAGGTCCTCACCTTACTTATCAATGCAGCTTACAAACCCAGCCGTGTCCTTCGGGAGCTGCAGCTGGACAAAGACTCGGTGTGGCATGGATGTGGGGAAGTCCTCAAGGCCAAGTGAGTAGGCTCCTCCGCCTTCATGCATATGCACCCTTAACAGGTCACAGAATCGGTTCTCCCACGGGTCATATTCGAGCACTCAGGTTCCTTGGGCAGTGCTGCTTCAGCTATTTGTGGCGAAGGCCCAGGTTTGTTTTCTTGTAAGTTTCCATGCTGTCATGGACCAACCCTTTTGTAAGATATGCTAGAAATGAATTATATGAAATATGAAATTTAAAAGGCATAGAATTCAAGAACAGTTTTCATTGTTACTAGATTTTAGAAATATAGAATTCCTTTTTCAAACTACTGTGAAAGTTCATAAACGTTTACTCTTATTTTCTGCCCTGAACTTGTCATGGGTGTATGGCAGTTGTCAGGTCTTACTGGGCCTCACACCTCAGGATACTGCCTGAGGGAGAAAGACAGTGAAAGTCACTTTTTTGTTAGTAGAAGTTACGATTTGAAAACCTTAAACTTAGGAACAGGAAGCAGGAACCTTATTTTGCCAGTTTAAGTAACTCAGCTTTTAGTTGTCATAGCTTACTAGATTATAAATGTAAGTATATAATACATAAACTCCATATTATTTTTGGAGTCTTAAAATATAAAAGACAAACTATTCTAATAAGCAGAAATACTCTATATTCTAACAAGCAAATATTAATACACTTGACTTTTCTCTGGATAATCACTAGCCCAATAAACTTGGTGTCTGATGTCTTCCAATGGCAGATACAAAGGGAAGAGTTATCGGGCTACTGTTGAGATAGTGAAAACAGCGGATCGGGTGACTGAATTCTGCCGGCAAACCTGTGTCAAACTGGAATGCTGTCCCAATCTGTTCGGTCCACGGATGGTTCTGGATAAGTGTTCTGAGAACTGCTCTGTACTTACAAAGACCAAATATAGTGAGTCATGTTTTTCAGATTTGTTAACTATAGCAGCTGACCATACCTTGTATCTTGGAAAGTTTTTATTGTGCAGACTCACATATAGCAGAGGTATACAAACTTATTCAGTGAAGGACCAGATAATAAATATCTTAGGCTGTGGGTCATGTGATCTCTGTTGCATATTTTTTAAAAATATATTTTATTGATTTTTTTCAGAGAGGAAGAGAGAGGGATAGAGAGTTAGAAATATCGATGAGAGAGAAACATCAATCAGCTGCCTCCTGCACACCCCCTACTGGGGATGTGCCCGCAACCAAGGTACATGCCCTTGACCGGAATCGAACCTGGGACTCTTCAGTCCGCAGGCTGAGGCTCTATCCACTGAGCCAAACCGGTTAGGGCTGTTGCATATTTTTGTTTGTTTTATTTTCATGTTTTTTTTAAAAAACTTTTAAAAATCTAAAAACCATTTGAGAGCTATACCAAACAGATCATGTGCCAGATTTTGCCAGCTTTTATATCTAGCATGTATATAAATTAGCTATTGAAGGTATTAGGATATGTAATTCATTCATACAATCTGCAAGTGTTTATTATGTGTCTGCTGTGTGCTGACACTGTGCTAGCACTGGGATATAAGAGTAAAGAAAAAAAATTTCTGTTCCTTCTCATTGTTTTTCTTCTCTCTTGTGAAACTGCAACAAAAAAGCAAGTGATAAAGGATGAAATTTCCAATTTGGAACTTTTTCAAGGCACTGTTATCCAACCACAAAATTCTGTTCCAACTTTCCTTAAATTGTACAAGCCCTGATGTCACCTGGGAGAATTAACACAGAGCAGGACTTTATCTTGATAAATTTAAAGATTGCTTTTAGGGATCTCTCATTCTGTGCCCCTTAAACTTTATCATGCATGCAAATTCCCTGATGATCTTGTTAAAGGGAGGTTCTGACTCATCAGGTGTGTGGGTTTCTGGGACCCAAGTGTCTGCATGTCTAAGACTCCCAGGTACTGCTGATACTGTTGATCTAAGGGCCATATTTAGCATGATGAGTTTTATAATCAGGACTTGAATGATAAATCATAGAAGAGTAACCTTCTAGTTTCTGTTTATATTTATTGGATTGTAAATTTCTTAAGGGTAGAGATTGTCTTAGCTTATTATGTTAGATTCAGCACTTATTTAGCAAATTGCCAAAAAAAAGTTGCAGTTATTAGTAGATAATGATATATGCTATTCATGCAAGTGTGTTTATTAAACTATGCCACTTTGAGGCTTTGGAAGATATATAGATTTTATTATGCCTTTTATCTGAATTTATTTTTCCACAATGATATAAGTGAAATTAGGCTAGATATTAGGAGTCTTTATAATTTTTCTCAATTAATAATTTGAGTGATGTAAATGGATTTATATCCTTTGGAATTCGTTTTTTTGGTAAAAATTACAGTATATATTAATATTACTTTAGTATATAACAGAGCTAGAATGTATGTTTCAATTTTAGAATTAGCTCTGTAATCTAAAATTTAAATGAAAATGCAAAGGACCTAGAAGAGGCAAAACATTCCTGAAAAAAAGAAGAATAAAGTTGGAGGATTTACTCTGTCTGACTTCAAGTTTTACCATAAAACTGTAGTAGGGTGTTGATGAGAGAATGGTCAGGTAAAGTGATGAGACCAAGGAGAGTGTCCAGAAATGGAGCCAAACTTACATAGTTAAATGATTTTCAACAAAGATGACAAATGTAAGGGTGGGGAGATTCTTTCAACAAATGGCACTGGTACTATTAGATATCCAAATTGAAAAAAACAAGCGAAACTCCTTGTCTCCTACCTCACTGAATATGAAAAGTAATGTAAGCTACGTCATAGACTTAAGGTAAAGCTTCTGGAAGCAAACAGGGAGGATTTCCGCAAGATCTTGGGTTAGTCAAGGATTTCTTAAGAGAGGGACACAATACACTGACATAAAGGAGAAAATTAATAAGTTAAACATCAAAATTAAAAAAATAAAGACTTTTAAAAAAAATTACATTTTTATTGATTTCAGAGAGGAAGGGAGAGAGATAGAAACATCAATGATGAGAAAGAATCATCGATCTGCTGCCTCCTGCATGCCTCCCACTGGGGACCAAGCCCACAACCCAGCCATGTACACTCCCTGGGAATTGAACTGTGACCTCTTTGTTCATAGAACCTCCTGGTTCATAGTTCAGCGCTCAACCATGGAGCCACACTGGCTGGGTTAAAAAACTTTTATTCTTAATAACACCGTTTATAAAAAGGAAAAGACAAGCTACAGTCATGGAGAAAATATTCTTTATATATAATAACAAAAAACTCTGCAGAATATATTAAAAACTGCCACAACGCAATAAAAAGAGAAGTTTTGCAGTTAAAGAAAGGTGGTAGTTGTAAAATGTAAATACCACTGAATTGTATGGGGTGGGACAAAAGTAGGTTTATAGTTGTTCATATGGAAAATAATGCAATCTTTATATATAAAAGCCTAAGCAACCCGCCAACTGGTAGCTATGATGCACACTGACCACCAGGGGGCAGATGCTCAATGCAGGAGCAGAAACCACAGGCATGGAAACATGGAACAGACTGATGAATCTCAGAGGGAAGCAGGGAGGGGGAAGGGAGGGAAGAGATTAACCAAGTATCTTATATGCATACTAGAGGCCTGGTGCATGGATTTGTGCACCGGTGGAGTCCCTCGGCCTGGCCTGCACCCTCTCGTAATCCGGGACCCCTCGGGGGATGTCAGAGAGCCGGTTTCGGCCTGCCACAGGCCAGGCCGAGGGACCCCACCAGTGCATGAATCTGTGCACCAAGCCTCTAGTAAATTAATAATAATACAAGAATAAACTGTTTTGCATACTCACAACTGTAAACCTACTTTTGCCCCTCCCTGTGTGTTTTTAAATGATTAATTGAATGTTATGTGACTGTTATCTCAATTAAAAAAAAAGAGAGAGAAACAAAATGTCCTGGAATTAGATCATGGTGATGGTTGTACAGTATAGTGCATATACCAAAAACCACTGAATATGTACACTTTAATATAATGAAGTTTATGTTATGTGAATTATAGCTCAATAAAAATGAAATAAACAATAAGTGAATAAAAGATTTGAATATAGACACGTCACAGAAAAATATATGCAAATGGCCAGTAAGCACATGAAAACATACTCAATATTGTTAGTGATCAGGAAAATGTAAATTTAAACTACAATGAAGTTACTGCATATCCACTAGATTCACTAAAATGAAAAAGACTGACAATCCCATATACTGGCAAAGGCATAGAGCACCTACATCTCTCATAGATTGCTGATGGGAGTATAAAATTATACAACCCTTTTAGAAAACTGGCAGTTTCTTTAAAAGTTAATCATACATTCCCTGCTGGTGTGGCTCAGTGGTTGAGCATCACCCTATGAACCAGGAGGTCATGGTTCAATTCCTGGTCAGGGCACATGTCCAGGTTGTGGGCTCAATCTCCGATAGGAGGCATGCAGGAGGCAGCCGATCAATGATTCTCCCTTCCTCTCTGAAATCAATAAAAAATATATTTTTTAAAAGTTAGTCATACATCTATCATATGATCCAGCAATTCCTTTCCTAGTTATTTATCTAAGGAAAATGAAAACATGCCCACTAAAAACCACGCACAGAATGAAAAACCTGGAAACAGCCCAGGTACCCACAATCAGGAGAATAGATACACTGGTAAAGTCATACAATGGAATGCTATTCATCAAATATGAAGGCATGAACTACTTATACACACAACAGCAAAGATGAACCTCAAAAACATTATAGTTAATGAAAGAAGCCTTGCACAAAAAAGTACCTACTGTGTGGTTCCAGAGATGAGACAGGCTAACTTATATTGATGAAAATCAGAATAATGGTTGCTTCTTGTGAGGCGGGCTGACTAAAAAGGGACCCTAGGAACTTCCTAAGTTGATGGACATGGCCTGTGTCTTGATAGAGGGAGGATTATTCAGGTTTATGCATTTGTTAGTACAAATCAAACTGTACATCTAAGGCAGTGGTTCTCAACCTGTGGGTCGCGACCCCTTTGGCGGTCGAACGACCCTTTCACGGGGGTTGCTAAGATCATCAACACAGCTGCTTCCTTCCTGTGATCATTGGCTCACAAAGGGAGCTGGGCCTGAACTCCAGATGACCTTCCCTGAGAAGCAGAAGACTACACTCAAGTCCGCTGTGACACCCTAGAGTAGCGGTTCTCAACCTGTGGGTCGCGACCCCTTTGGCGGTTGAACGACCCTTTCACAGGGGTCGCCTAAGACCATCCTGCATATCAGATATTTACATTACTATTCATAACAGTAGCAACATTACAGTTATGAAGTAGCAACGAAAATAATTTTATGGTTGGGTCACAACATGAGGAACTGTATTTAAAGGGCCAGAAGGTTGAGAACTACTGCTCTAAGGTCTCTACAGTTAAGGTTATTCCACTTGTATGAAATTTAAACTTTAATCAAATGCAGTGTAGCTGTTTTCTGCTGTGCTAATAGAATCTCTTGTGGTTTGAGATGCACAAACATAATGAACTGCTTCCTTTTTCTCTGTCATTCACATTTAGCACACTATTATGGGAAGAAGAAAAGTAAAAGAATTGGGAGGCCGCCCGGCGGGCACAGTAACTTAGCATGTGCCCTGAAAAAAGCCAGTAAGAGGAGAAAGAGGCGGAAAAGTGTTTTTGTGCATAAGAAGAAACGCTCCTCTGCATCTGTTGATAATACCCCGGTGGGCTCTCCTCAGGTATGAGATCTGATGTACCTGTGACATCTCGACGCCAAGGGGTCACTGCTTTACAATGCAAACTCAGAAAGGGTACCTGGTCTTTCTCATTGAGATCCCTGGCCAGTAGAAGATGGTTTTGTGGCCCCAGAACTGGTGTGTCCTGATTTTCAATGAACCTTCTCTCATTTTCCTCTAGGGAAGTGGGGGTGAAGATGAGGATGACCCCGACGAAGGAGATGACGATTCTCTAAGTGAGGGCAGTACTTCTGAGCAGCAGGACGAGCTACAGGAAGAGTCAGAAATGTCAGAAAAAAAGTCATGTTCCTCTTCTCCCACCCAAAGTGAGATATCCACCTCACTGCCTGCAGACAGACAACGGAGGAAAAGGGAGCTTCGGTCTTTTTCATTTTCTGATGATGAGAACAAGCCGCCTTCACCAAAGGTGCCCCCTTTTTCACAGTGCACTCTTCTCTCTCGGACTTCTGTCTAGAATATAATTGTTAATGATGTTGGCATTGCACTCATTTCATAACAGGCTTCAGTTGAATTTCCTGGATCACTTTTTAAATGATTCCACATTCAGTGATTTACTTGTGTTTCAAGGATTATTTGGAGATTAACTGTTTATTAGGAGGAAGGTCTCAGAGTGGCTGCTTGTCTTGAGTAAAAGAATGTTTCATTGCTAGCTTGTTTGTAGCCTGTCTTTTAGTTTAGGGAAAACTTCCTTTTTAATATTTTTCATAGATAGTTTTATTGAAATATAATGGTTTTGTAGAAATAAATTATCCTTTTGTTCTGGTTAAGCCATCTTGTTTAGTATATTTAACATATACATATCTGTATATTATATAACATATACACACTAAAGTTGGCAGTTAAGTTGGTGTTTTAAAACTGGGTTGCTTTTTAAATATATTCTATGAACAGAAGCAACAAATGATTTCTCCTGACAATTTAGCTAATACTTCTGTCATTGGAAATATCATCCCATTCACTTTAGCACCCACCAGAGAGTGAGTTGAAATTGACTGAGAAACAAATGGGAGATTTGTTTAAAAGTGATTTTTCTGTTAAATTGTGCAAATGATTTCTTCGGAAACTTTGAGATAAAATTTTCCCCATTGATTTTTCTTATTATGAAAGACCAACATTTCCTGAGTTCCTAGTGTATATGGGACTTTGCCATCTTTGCTGGGAGAAATCACCTCGTAAAACCATTTTAAATCCTGCCTTGAGGGGTTATGAATTTAAATAGAGAGACTTTTAAAGATTGTAATAACTCTTACACCATTGGTTTGCTTTTGTTGTGGGGAATGAAGGAAATCAGGATTGAAGTTGCTGAAAGGCTTCACCTGGACAGTAACCCCCTGAAGTGGAGTGTGGCGGATGTGGTGCGGTTCATCCGGTCCACCGACTGCGCTCCGTTAGCAAGAATATTCCTAGACCAGGTAACCACCGGCACCTTTCGTTTTTAGCAATATGTTTCTTTAGCAAAGGAGTGTGGGTGTACTAGCAATTTATTTACAAGTCTTAGGAAAAATATTTCTGTCCAAAAGAAAAAACTCTTTTAGTTCCCATTTTAGGAATACAAATATGTCAAAAAGTCATTTATCTGACTTCCTTCATAGTTGAAGCAAATTATCATTGCATTCCCATTTTTCCTAAGAATTTATTTCCATCCCGCAAATATTTAAATGGCTTAAAATTAAGTATGCCATGCTTATTGTCCTCCTCTTTTCCAAAAATAACAGTTTGCGCATTTTAAGAAAATAACATCTGTAATATATTAGGCTCTGAAGTTGTGATAAATTTTAAGGCAACTTTTCTGAGACAGAAATATCTGTGGTCTTAAATATTGAAATAAATTTGTTTTGATAATTGGGGAGATTCAAAGCTGAACATCTTTGAAGAACTTATCGGGCTTTTATGAATGTTACAGAGAAGGAAAACATTGAAGTTTATCGTTAATATCTTTCAGATTTAGAAAGAGTCCGCTAAAAAAATGTTTCTTTTGGCGCATTTAATTGCTAGTTACAAGGCTAGTTAATTTACTGAATTTCTGCGAGCAGAAACTGTAGAGTGGATTCTTATCCTTGGTAAAGCTTTGTTATTAATTATGAAGATTCATTGGTATGGAGGACTATGAGAGGCGTCTAAAAGGAAATGTGTGATACTTATTCAAAGGGGAAAAGTAATGAAAACATAGGGACTCTGATTTTGACTAAGCCAAAGTGATTGGGGGCTGTCATGATTGAGCTGCTATTCACGTGCACATCATACATAATTTGTATTTTGTGTTTTAACAGGAAATTGATGGGCAGGCCCTGCTGCTCCTTACCCTTCCCACCGTTCAAGAGTGCATGGACTTAAAATTAGGCCCTGCCATCAAACTTTGCCATCACATAGAGAGGATCAAGTTTGCTTTTTATGAGCAGTTTGCCAACTGAGAAGGACAACCAAAGTGAGCTGTATCTTTGAAGCACAAATGCAGCAAATCCTTCGCCTGCTCTATGAGTGGAGCTGAAATAGTGCTGGGGCGCTGGGCCCAGCAGGTGTCGGCTTGCTCTCTCTGCACTTTCGGGGAAGGAGGTCCCACAGTGAGGAAGCAAAAACTGCACAGAAGTGGCTCCCCTGCCAGTGGAAATGGGAGCATCTCTCATTCAGCAGATGGCAGTTTTAAAAAAAATAAAGTTGTGAAGAAACGACTCATGTAAGAAGAAGCAGCGTTTCCAGTGGTGTGGCCTAAACGAAGACTAATCTAGGCTGCAGGAAAGCACCCTTTTGGGGGTTTTCTTTTTGTTATGTCCCCTCCTGTTGTCGATTGAACTTTGTTCTCTGCTTTCTCTTTCTTGGAAAGAGAGGACCTGGCTTTAAGGCAGCACTGATTTGAGACTGCACCTAAGGCAAACCAGTGCTTCACTGTCATCGTGGTTTTGAGCTATTTTAAATTAAAACAGTTTCTTTTGGGGATGATTATGTGGCTCTGGGGTTTTGAATGTGCAGTCACACTTGGCCCAGTTTGAAGTCTGTTCTTAGGAGTCCCTTTGTTTACTACCTCTGTTGAGAATTGAGCTTGCAGCCATGTGTGAGGTTTTTGTATGGTGCCATTTTAAGGTACATGAACACTAAACTTATGGCAGAAGTTGGAGGGGGAAAACACTGTTTGCTTCCTCAAAAACATTGTGTGAGCACTTACACCAGTTCCTTAACTGACCTGATCTAAGAACTTGACTGTCATTGTTTTCCATCTTGACCTAGCATGGGCTACCTGTTTTAAGAAATATCTCAGACTGTTGGTATTTCAATTTAATTGCTCTCTCCCCATTAGTTTTCAGAGGGACTTCAGTGGCTTTTATTGTGTTTACTTTTCTTCACAGTTGTTTGTCTGTTTCAGTTCTTAAAGTCCTTACTTTGGATAAAAATCAGTAGGTATTTCTTCGGCCCACCATTTGGTCCATTTTCCCTTCTTTCTCCATGTCTTGAGACAGGTAGTGTAGAAGCACAAGAAAGAAAACAGGTTTGAGGGCTTACGCAGAGCATGGAGTTTCTGTAACTATTTCCTCAGTGGCTAGATAAAGATTGAGCGGTGGTTAAGGATTCTGGAAACCTCTTTGCCTAGTCAGGTTTACAATTTTCTTCAGTTAAATCTTTAAATTGAATATAATTTATAGTCTGAGGATTCCTACTCAGTAACGCAGTTTTCTTTTAGGTGTTTCTTTGACCCAGCTCAAGTTGACATGAAGCTACAGGTGAATTTCACTTATCATTGCACTAATAGCTATTATAGGATAATAGCATTTGCTATACTGGTCCAGCTGTTGAGGAAAGATTGCTTCCTTTAAATGGTTTGCTTTGCTGAGGGTATTTTTTAAAATTATCCTAGTCAGCTGCAAATTTATAATATAATCATTCCTCTCCAAGATTTGAAAATGTTTTAGAACTACAAACTGGGTAAATTCCAAACAGCTCTACAAATATAAGGTAATATTATAAATGAAAAATGATTGTGATTTTTTCCCCTTTTTATTCCCTTGCCCCTCACCTGTTTTTATAGACATTGGTAAACATTTTTTAGTTTAGACCCTCTCTTCATTGGATAATTTATGAACCATCTTAATTCAAGCCCTCCAACCAAACCATCTATTAAAACATCAGCTCTTTGTTTAGGCCGCTACCAGATATACCTGGAAAGAAGCTTCATTTAAGCAAAAATTAATATGTTTGACCTTACTCACAGCCCAGCTTTTGAAAATTTGATTACTTCTATGCCCACGGAAGAGAAGCATATATAAGATGCTTGGGAACAGTTAGCATTAAGCAGATAGACTTTGGAGGAGGGCTGTAGCTTGAATAATCAAGTCTCCTGAGAGGTCAGCAGTCAAGGCACCAAGGTAAAGGAGGTTCCTGGAAGATCAATGGGACAAAAAAATATCTGGAATTAATTAACACTGTTGTCTTATTTAGGAAAATGAGATTTATTTTCTATAAGAGGAAATTCCCACATGCAACAGTGAACACGGGGTGGGGCAACAGTAGGTTTACAGTTCGTATGGAAAATAATACAATAATTAATAAATAATAATACAAGAATAAACTGGCATACTCACAACTGTAAACCTACTGTTGCCCCTCCCTTTTTTGTTATTATTGCCTCTCTTTTGATTTCTCCTGAAACCACTGAATTAGGAACACCCTCCATCACAAGTAAAGGATGAAAAGCTCCTGAAAGGGAAACAAATGGCCCTAAGTAGTCTGATCTGGATAGAGTTGAGTCCCAACCAGCTCATATATGTTTACCATGATTATTCAAGCTCAGCTTCCTCCTAGAGCAGTGATGGCGAACCTATGACACGCGTGTCAGAGGTGACACTCGAACTCATTTTTTTTGGTTGATTTTTCTTTGGTAAATGGCATTTAAATATATAAAATAAATATCAAAAATATAAATCTTTGTTTTACTATGGTTGCAAATATTAAAAAAATATTTCTATCTGTGACACGGCACCAGAGTTAAGTTAGGGTTTTTCAAAATGCTGACATGCCGAGCTCAAAAGGTTTGCCATCACTGTCCTAGGGAGAGGCTGACTCTAAATTGGAAAAGTATGCAGGGTTTCCCTTACTACTTTTTGCATTCTTATACTGAGATACAATTTATGAGGCAACTGCATTAAAGAACAATGATATATCCCCAGCCTCCACTCCCAGATATTGGACAAGAGAGGATACTCGTTTGGAAAGTTGGCATAAGGCATTTTTGTAAAGAGTATAATGTTTAGGCTTTGTTTGCCTCATAAAACTGCTGGGGCTGGGCTGGACGGTACTGACAGTCTGATTCCTATGATTCTGAATCAGATTTTAAGCCCGACACTAGTTCACCACATTGGGGTGAACATATGTTGCACATAGTGCTGAACTTTGTTTTTTAAAGGCACCAATCTCTTAAATTTATGAGAGGTGCATGCAAGGTGCCACCTTTGAATCTCACCTTTCGCTGGCCCCACAGCCTGCCTGAGGCCAGAAAGTTTTCCATGATCCACTTTTGATCCTAAATTGACAAGCTTGGAGGCAGGTGAATGAACTATATCATCTCCCTGGACCTTGACATCGGCTGACCAATATTAGCTTATTACTGCTCTGTGAATGTGTTAGGGAAACCTTGTATAGCACATGAAAATTTGCTGACATTTTGACTACTTTGTCAGCTTCTGGGAACTATGCTATTTTCCTTTGTAAACTACCTTCATCCTTCTCCGTTGAAGTGGCTGATGCAGGGAATGTACCAATGGGGGCTTTTACCTTCTCTGGCTTTCTTTAACCATGTAAGTGGCTCCCAGCATCTACATTATCGATATGCACTTGCCAACATCTGGAAAAGGTGGGCTTCTTGGTAAATAGTTGTTGACTTATGATAGAGTCAAACATAGAAAACCAGTTCAGAAGTAGACCTTGATTTGCCTCTTCTCATGAAAGTAAAATTATTCTCACTGTGAGGGACAGGGCTTTGGACCAAAGCTTCCCAAGGACTTGAATACATTTTACTCAAGGACTTGAATACATTTTACTTGCTGTCTTGTACCAGTTCAGTAGCTAATGTAGTACCTGAATAGAGATTAAAAGCTTTAAAGGCCTTGGGTAGAGTAGGACTCAGAACCATTGCCCTCTCTCAAACCAAAAAGTATTTCCAGGGGACACAGAAAACATCAGGGAATTGTTAACGGTAGATAAGATTTATCTAGATGGCGACATTAGGAAAACTGTCACAGGCACGATTTACTTAGCACCTATCACCAAAGACTTTTATATGTAAGATGCCATTTGCTGATTTGATTGATGCCCATAGAAACTCAGAGAGTTGTTAGGAGCTTAGCCTCAGCAGTGGAAATACTGGGTTTGAACTCTGGTCCCATATATTGGGGATGTTTCGTGTATGTATGTGTAAATTCAAAAGTATTCTGTGTTAATAGTTGGCCTTATGAAGATGAAGAAGTCACTAACAAACGAAGTATAAATCTTGGTGGGGACTGGGTACCCCCTTTTAAAATTTGAATGTCTTTGGTCCTGGGTCGTGGTCATGGTGCTGGCTCAGAAATTGTAGGACAGAGCATCCTGCAAAACCAAGAAGAAATCAAGTGATAGTCATGCAATTATAATCCTTCCTTGACTTTATTCACTTTTCAATGTTACGCTAATGAATTTTGATGATTCCCACCCACTCTGTGAGAATGTGCATACTTTGGAAATTGGAATTTATCCAAATAAGCCTCCTTGGAGTGTTGGCAGAAGAGTTCTCAACTCAAAGCTCTGTCCGAACGGGTCTGGTTTCAAACACGCTCACTTGGGGTTTCCTCTGTGCTATTTCAGACCACATAGGTAGTCTTGTTTCTGAGAGCTGCCTTAGGGATTCAGGTGTAGAAGATGGTGGGTGGTAAATGACTGGGGATTGATTTTCTTGGTTCTGCTATTTCAGAAGTCTTAGATTTTCACAAGAATCAGCAAACCCAGGAGTGAGGGTTGGGGGAATAGAGAAGTAAGCCTAAAACTCCCTCCCCTTATATCTTTTCTGACTTAACACAATTCTTGGATTTGTTCTGTGCTATGGCCTATCACAGAGGACTATTTCAAAAGGGAAATAAGCCACAGCCTCACAGGATAAGTCTTTAACACCAGCAGTGAAGTGCGACTCTGAGCCACGGGAGGCAAAGATGATACTGAAGCCACCATTTCTGACGGGGGTTCCTGTTCTCAGGATGTGTGGAAGCTCAGTCCTAAGGGCTTCTACATGGTGTAGTCAATCTAACTGCATGTCTAGCTTGGTAAATAGTGTTGAAAGGATGAGGCTGTGGGGATAAATCAGATTACAAAGCTGATGATGGAGGGCAGTTATAAAATTTAGACAAAGTTAAAACTGGACAATTCCTTAGCTCCTTTTGCAAGAAGTCTCTAGGGAAGTGTAGTTTGAGTATTTCTCTTGAGATTTAAGCACTCATTTCTTTTCCTTTCTTTTTTGGGTTGAGTATTCTCTAAAGACAATCAGAGGCCTGTGAGGACAGGACTTCTGGCGGGTTCCAGCACTGTCCTGAGGCCTCTTTCTAATACTAACTCGTTGGAACTGATGCACTTTGTTTAATGTATGTTGTTCTTTTATTTTTACTTTTTAAGCTGCTTGTTTGGAACAAAATGAAATGCATATTGCGTTGTATCCTTGCTTGCTGTTTTTCTCTTAATTTTAAAAGTTAATGCATTGGGAATAAAATATGCACAAGAATACCTATTTAAAAAAAAACTTCCACCAAGTTTGATGTTATTTCAAGGGATTAAAAAATAACTATTTTGGATGAATATTTTGTGTGAGGTTTTTGATGGCATTTTTTTTGTAAATAAGAATGTATATAAACTTGTGGTATATTATGGCAGTTCAAAGTGGTTGTGAGAAAATGAAAGCAGGTCTTAAGCTATGTTTAACTTCATTCAACAGCAAGAGGGCTTCTTGCCAAGAGTAAATCCTTCAAAAAAACTTTCCAGCGGGGCCTCAGAATCATCTCCGAATGGAGGAGAATGTTCCTACTTTAATAAAATGAACTTTTCTAGAATTCTCCCCCCTCTCCTGCTGTCTGGGTCTTTTCCTCTCCCAATTTAGGTACTTTTATTGCAATTTAGGAAAGGTAGGAAGAGCAGTGACTGCTCCCGGCACTGGGCACTCTGCTCCTGATCTCTGAAGATGCTTCTTGTTCCACTCCATTGCTTCGGTGCAGCAGCAGACAGGCCTTAAGGATTCCTCCGCCTCTGGATGTGCAGAGCAGTGCTTTGTCAAAAACTCCATTTTTCAGCTCTGTGTGCAATTTTCCTTGAGCTGTTGGTGTCTTCAAGCAATCAAGAGTCTCCTTATGCCCATCCACAGTCTCTTCTGCTTCAAGTACACATCCTCTTGTTTGGTTCTCTCTCAACATGGACTGTTCACTGTTGAGCATCCCCATAAGAGACCTTCTTAGACTTAAAGACAGTAATGCGAATTTCCCTTACCTATTTATTTCCTTCATCTGATTTCCTGTATTTTCCCATGGTCAATACTTGTGGAGAGTTTTAAATTTTATAAATTAAAATTCAGTTTAATTTAAAAAGCATTGTGTTGCATGTTCTCTGTGCCAGGCACTATGTTGGACCCTAGGGTGAATAAAAACCAGTTCCTGCCCCCAGGAGGCTCACAGTCAGCTGTGACTGTGTCTAATTTAGCAGTCTGACAAGTTCCAGTGGAGCAGCACACACGAGGGCATGTGGAAGTGCAGTGGGGAGAGGGAGGTCAAGCAGGCCTTGAAGCATAAGTAGCCGTTCATGGAGCAGGGAAAAGGAGCAGTGTTCCATGCAGCGGGAATACCACAGGAAGGCAGAGGTGTGAAAGTGCATTGTAAGAGGGCTGGAGAATAGGCACTAGGCGGAGCCATTAGCATTTTTGTTCTCTGGATAAAGAAGTTAATATTTCAGTTAACCAAGAAAGCTTTTGTATAGCATTTAACTCGTGTAATTCGCATTTCTTGGTGGCTTTTAGGGAAAATTTCCCTAGATAGGGTATTTATCGTCCTACACAAATGGAGCCCAGTGTCTACTGGAATAACACCATGTGTGCACTGGCATTAAGTGGATGGATGCAGCAGGAAGGTCAGGGACTCCAGCACCAACAAGAGATGCCCAGAGAGACGCCAGGAGGGGTTGGGAGGGTAGTAAGGGAATGTGGACTAGAGGCCCTATTCGAGGTAGAGAGCAGGTTCCAAGGAGCCAGAAAGGGTTAGGTGGGAGGAAATGCGTATGTGTGAAGAGAGGTGTTGGAGATGCCGGCAAATACAAGTTGACTTTGTTTTATGAATCACGTTCAATATAAAAAAGGTAGAGACATAATCACATATTTTCAGGATAAGCCTTGTATATTTCTAAGTGAAGGCGACTGGATGGAAATGACCATTTAAATTACATTTAGCAGAGAAAAAGAAGAAAGTCGACGAGGTCTGACTGGTGACTCTAAGATAAGCCTGTGGCCAGGACACCGGTATGAACGAGGAAAGCAGAGGACGCATAGGAAGGCGTATGCTTCCGTGCTGAGCCGTGGGTTGTTTTCCTCCACAACGAGCTTCAGAATAATCCAGGCTGCTCTCCGAAAAATGCAGATGATCCGGCCCTGACTCAGGGCGACTGAACTGGAATCTGAGGGTGGAAACCAGGAGCATTTTTAATAAATTCTGCAGGATATGAAGGATTTATCTTGGAGAATTTAGTCCCAGACCGTCCCTGCTCCTGCCCTTCTGACGTGGAGCTGGCGATCCCGGGGCCGCTTTCCCACTCCTGAGTTTGCTCCCCCGGCTCACCTGGTCCCACCTGTGACCCGA